TGAGCGATATTTGCAGATTTGGATTTGGTGCTCTATCCAAAATTGTGGTAGGTGAGTTTGGTGCCCCATGAAAGGAAAATGGGTTTGGAAAGAGTCAAACATCAGCAGGAAATGTCAATCACTATTTCATGAACCACATGTCTACCCACCATGGATGGTTGTAGAAGGGACATTGTGGGAAGGAAATTAGGGTTTTTTTTTCTAACCCCATTTTTAAATGTGTGTGTGTGTGTGTGTGTGTGTGTGTGTGTGTGTGTGTGTGTGTGTGTTTGAGGCAGGGTCCTGCTCAAGGACTGGCCTTCAACTCTATATAGCCCAGGCTGGCCTTAACTTAAAAGTGATCCTCCTGCCTTAGCTGAGTGCTAGGATTACAAGTGTGCACCATCACACCGAGCTTTCAGCTTACTTGCTAACGTTACTGCTTTTCTATTCTCTTCTGTAAAACAGGCTAGTTGTTATATACAATAAAAACCATACACTAGTCCATTGTGTGGTTGTTCCACCATGTAGTTACTTATTTCCCCACTGAGGTGTATGAAGGCTGATCAAAAAATAGTATTTAAAATTTCTTACAGTAAAAGTTGTTGCCATGAATCCCCTTCAAAATAGTCATCTTTGCTTCCAAAGCGCTGCATCCTTCTTGCCACTCTAGGAAGCAGTTCCGGAAGCCCTCTTCCCTGTCTGGGGGGTGTGATCAAAACATCAATGCTGCTGCCCAGTGCCGTCCAGTGAGAAGGCAGGCTTGTAAAACATCACTGTGTGTCCTTATCCGCCTTATTCCCTGGGACTGGCATCATGCAATTCTAAAGTCAAAGTGACCACAAGAGGTAATTGTTTTAAATCGACTCTGGACATGGAGGCAGCTACAGCATTGTTACTGAAGACACTTTAAACCACTGCACAGGTTATCCTAGCATGTAGTGTTTGAGTACAGGTACTGATGTGTCCTCTAGACTTGGTTTTTCTGAAAACAAGTCATTGGGTATGTACCTCTAACACAAGTTAGCATCGCAATAGCATTACCCTAAACTTTCTCCTTCCATCTTGTCTCATCTTCAGTAACTGATGTTGTTGCACTTTAAATTTGCCAGTCAGATGTGCATACAATAATGTTTCAGATGCTTGTGTCTGTAATCCCAGAATTTGAGCCTGAGGAAAGAGAATTGAAAGTTTGAGGTGAAACTTAAGTATTTTAGAGAGACCCTATCTCATATAAAGAGCTGGGGATGTAGCTCAGTGCAGAGGTCCTGGGCTTAACTTCCAGTACCATAAAACTAATTTTTAAAAAGCCCTCATACAGTTTGCCTTTTTGATTACCTCTGAAGAGCATCGTTTTCTGCTTGTGTTGGTCTTTGAGCTTTCTCTAAACTGAATTGTCACATTCTGTGCATAATTTTCTTTGGAATTTGTCTCTTTCCCTTTTATTTGTAGTACTGTTGTTTGGGGATCAAACCCATGTCCTCACATCTGCTAGGTGAGGTCTTGTGCTGTAGTAGTATTTTAACATTCTGGACACTGATCCTTCCCGTGTGAGTTGCAAGCCTCTGTTTTTGTTTTCATGTGCTTATTTTCACTTAGTATATAGAGTGTTATTAATCAATCTTGATGGTTTAGTTATTTTTCTTAGGAAATCATCAGCGGAGCTGGGGATTTAGTTCAGTGGCCTAAACGCCTGCCTTGCAAGCATGCGGTCATGAGTTTGATCTTGGGTACCAAAAGAGAAAAAAAATTCATCAGCGTCCCACACTCATGTAGTCTTTATTTTTTTAACCTTTGCACTTCTAAAGATATAATCAGATGAGCATGGTATGAGGCATTTTATGTAAATTTAAAGTTCTTTGGAGTAAAATGGGCTCTTTACTGTTTAAGATTATTCCAGAGTTATAAAAATTCTGTGTCACCTTGGGTTTTTCCTTTTTGTTTTGTTTTGGGATGTGTGAGTATGTGTGTGTGTTTTGTTTGTTGTGCAGTATGGAGGACTGAACCTTTGCACTAAGCCACATCCCCAGCCCTATTTTTTGTTTCATGACATGATCTTGCTTTAGTTGCTACGTAGCCTGGGTTGGGTTCCAATTTATTATAGTCCTACGCAGCCTCCCAGGGATCAGACAAGTGCCACACATGGCCTCTCCATGTTTGCTCCACTGTTCTTCCAGCCTTGGCTGCTGTAGTCAGACAGGGAAGAAGGACACTTGCAACTGTAGCATAATCCTTGGCCCAGATAGCAGTTGTCCCGGGCGTGATACAGAGTCATTCCTGCAGTATTAGAAAAGTGTTTTTTTGCCTCAAGCATATATATTTAGCTTTCAGATCAGTCTTGAATTTACTGTTGTGTAATGTATAAACTCAGGATTTTTTTTTCATATATCTGGTAAATTGTGTCAGTACAGTGCTACTGCTGTCCAAAATCAGTTTCCCAACCATGTGTCAGCCCTTTCTAGTGTCCATGTTCTGTGTCTGTTTGCCTAACCTTGGACAGATACCACGCCATATTAATTACTATAGTCTTGTCAGCATTAATTCCTGGCAGGCAGTATTCTATTGTATTTACATCTAGTTTCTGTTTTTATTGTTATTTTGCTTATTTATTGGTACTGGGAATCAAACTTTGGACCTCCAGCTTGCTAGGCAGGCGCTGCACCACTGAGGTAATTCCCTGGCCCCTATGTAGTTCCTTTTAATAAAAATTAATAATCTATATTATTTCTAATTTGTAACAGCTTGAATCCATTTGGAGATCTAGTATTGAAAATTACTCACCTCCCTATGATAAAGTACTTTGTGCATTCCACTTGTATATTTATGATTCATGTTGCTCCTTCCAAAACACCTACCAGAACTCCTTTCCTTTCCCTATAAGGCTGAGTTTGTATCAGTGCTGTGCTAAGGTTCTTTGGAACTAAAAGGAAAATTCAGTAGAAGTAAGTCATTTAAAATGCTGATATGACAGTTTTTATTTGCTTTGATATTTTTGGATGCTGTATTGACACAATCACTCCTTAAATTCTGTCCCCAAGGCAAGCACTCTGTGTGGTTCCAGCTGATTAGTATGTGAATTCCTAGGCCTTTGAAGTGACTTTCCCTAGCTTGAGGCGGTTGTTACCAAGAAAAGATAACTGGATCTGCTAGCATCCTTAGGGCAGAACAGTTTTTCTGGGGCAGTTTAATGAAGAGAGAACTGGGCTAGGACAGAGCTGAGCTTTGGCAGCAACCTGTTGCTTGGCTTTGCTTCCTTAGGCAGTGGCCTCTTTTCATACTTTGAAGATGCAAGGCTAAAAGAAACAAAGCAAGTTGTAAAAGACTGGCTTTTATGTAAAAGGTTGTTTCCAAACTCTGCTCATTTTAAAATCTTTGATACTGACACACGTCCGAGTCAGTGGCATCTTAACAGCTAATGGGTCAGGCGTGCATCACAGTCATACCTGCTTGTACCAACTTGGCCATAACCAACGGACGTTTCAGTTCATGGTGGAGGTGTGTACACTATTGTGTTTTGTTATGACTGCACTGATTTAGCCTATGCCAGAGCAGCATTAAGATCTTTGAAATGGCTAAGCCTTAAATTTAAAACCTGTTACAGTTAAGCCCAGTGTGATGGCCCACCTATTATCCTAGTACTCAGAAGGCTGAGACAGGAGGATCACAGTGAGTTCAAGGTCACCCTAGGCTACTTAGTGAGTTTTAGGCGAGCCCGAATTACGTAAGACCCTGTCTGTATAACCAAAACAAGAACTTCAAGAATAAACCGAAAATGTTGGTAGAGTACTTTGGTAGCATTTTTATGATACATAAAAAGAATGGTACCTAAAATAATGGGATCAGAGTTGAAGTATAAAGAATTTGAGTATATAAGGTGGCTGTGCTAAGACATGCATGAGAACAGTGTGTATTAACTTTGGAACAGTGGTTACTTCCTGGAGTCCTTGGGAAAAGCTTTTCTCTTATAAAAAGATAAAGACAACCAGGAATGGTAGCACACATCTGTAATCCCAGCACTCGGAGGATTGTACATTCAAATGCAGCCTGAGTAATTTAGATACTTGGCAAGACCCTGTGTTTAAAAAAAAAAATCTGTTAAACGTCTTTAAAATCTAGGTAGAAAATATCTCATTTTAAACATTTCTGTATGCTTGGATTTCTAGTAAAGTTTTGAATTAAAAAATTGTAAAGATTACTTCATGGTTCTAACTTGTCTGCCACGAAGAGGGTGCTGATTTACAGCCCTGATAGTATGGAAGCCCAGCCTTCCCGCTTTCTCATCAGTGTGGCGTGCTGCCTATCTAGTGTATTTTCCTGGTTTAATTTCCATTTATTTGATGATTTGTGAGTGAACTTTGCGTTTCACATTTATCTAGATATATGTCACCTTTTATTAAAGAATATTCATATATATTAATTTTCTATTTACAGATCATTTTTCCTTTTGATTTCTGAGCACACTTTGTACTGAATTAAATATGACTGTGTTCCATATGTCCTGAGTTATTTCCTCCAGCTCGCCGTTGGCCTTTCAGGAGTGTAATACTGATCAGTTTGTTGTTGAAAAGGAAGGATATTGAGGGATGGCACTGAGAAGAAAGAACACCTATCCGTTCAGAAGTGACCAAATTCCTGAAAAAACACAAGCTTGATGCAGGTTCCCCACAACGCACACCCCGCCCTGCCCCTCTGCCACCCAGACTTCATGTTGTGATACTATTTCTATGGCTTTTCTTACACAAATAACTTTTTGTGCCTATTCTCATTTTCCTACAGGCAGAATAAGTAAGGGCTTTCAGTTCACCACAGTTCATAGAGGGTAAAATGCTCTAAGGTGAAGATTATTATAAAGTTACCTTTGGTCAAAAAAATATACTTTCTTCCCCCTCAAGTCAAATATAGTAGGGGGGTCTGTTTTGCTTTTTAAAAAAACGGAGTAAAGTTTAAATACTTAGATCTTAGGTGTTAAATTTGATGAATTTTGAGTAACATTCAAAACGAGAATTTTGTCATTTTTTCAGCGGTATCGGCTACCTTCAGTTGTGTACAGTGACTTTTTTCACATTTTGAGTAAGTACGTTATTTTTCTGTTATGACTTTGAACTTTTAAATAAATATAATGCACCTGGAACTGTGGATCAAAAATCTAGAATAACTTTCCCTTAACTTTGTCACTGTCTCCTTATGGCAACTATTACATAGTCAATGTTTTCTCATTCTTTGGAAATGTACTTCATTATATTCCTACATATACATGTATTTTGTGGGCATTTTGTTACTGGTTTCATGCCATCTTAATGAGCATAATTTTATCGTGCATTTTATTTACTGTCTAGTAGAGAAAATGTCCAATTCTTAGAAACACGAGTATAATCCTTCAGAACGACCTTTTTTGTTAAAAGGGGAGTAAAACAGAACAGTAAAGGGAAACAAAACAAACAGGAATAGGACGATAGGAAATCCTCCATCGTTACTCTATTGCAGAGTGTTATCCTCCAAATAGCTAGCCAGCCCACCCGCCCCAGGCCCGCAATGTCAGTCAGACAACGTAAAGGTCAGATCGCTTCAGTTGCCATCTCAGGCCGCGGCAGCTCCTTTGCTGTTCTTTCTGGTGGCCAGCAAGGCCTCTGCCGGTGCTCAGGGGGTGCTGGCCGTGCTGCTCCCCTGCCGATTGCCCCCAAGACCGGCCAGGCTTCCGCTGGCGCAGGGTTGGGGCGGGGGTTTGGGGGGCTGCCTTGCTTCCCTACTGCTTCTCCTCGAGGCCTGCGGGACTTCCGCAGCACCTAGAATGATCTTTTGAATAATACAGCCAATATTTCACTACCAAGTAAAAATCTTGTTAATAGCTGACTGTGTGCACATATGTATGAATTAATTTCGAGGCCTGATGCAGAGAGACGAGTTCCATTTTTGAACATGCTACTTTTACAGAAATGTTTATAAGACTCACAATGCTCTTTCAAAGTTTTCTCCATACAGTCTATGCGTTTTTTAAGTCCATCGGTTATTTTATATTTCTTACTGCTGTTATGAACTCTCCCCACTCACAAAAGCTCAGTTTCCTAGTAGACGATTGACTTTGTGCATTTATTCTCCACCCCCCCCCACCTCACCACACAAAAAGCGTTTCAATTTTTGTCATTCCCACCAGATGGCAGTCTTGAGCGCATCTCAATGCAAAGCGGCTGAGAACTGGTGACAAGCAATGGCTGGCTGGCCTACCAAAGAAGTCGAAGGACAAAAAGATGGTTTTATTTTGGCTTTTTTTTCTCCTCCATAAACTTAGGACAGAAATGATACCAATGTTACATATTGTAAAATTTAACCTCCTCTTAGTCTTTAATCTACAGAAGCAGAGAAGAGCTGTCACCGTGGCCTTCAAAATCACCTCTTCCCTCTTCATGCAATAAACGCGTGGTTCCTTAGCAGCACTGTGGTTCATTCCAGGGACTCTCCGGGATAAAAGGATCGCTTCAGTGTCGTTTCCCTTCTCCTGAAAGGATCATTTAAATTAGAATTACTGGATTTCTAATGTGTCTAGAAAAACGTCTTGGATTCTGGTTTTTATCTTTTCTAGATGGCTTCTGAATGATGTAGTGTTTAATGTGAATGGAAGTAGGTTTGTGACCAGTTTGTTCTACATCAATCCAAAACTTAGTGATCATCTTAAATTAGAACCTTTTTGGTTTAATTTAAGTGACTCCCAAGATCTATAATGAGGAATACAGGAAATAGTAATTACTTGGTCAGACAAGGAATTGACTCAAATATTTTCTCATACGTACGTACTCTTCCAGATGGCCAGAGGTTGTGCTTTGGGACAATACATCACCTACGCAAGGGCCTCCTCTTGTCTTTATTACAGTTCCATCGTTAATGTGCTTTTATGGTCAGAGAGGTAAACAGTCCCCCTCTCCCCGCCAGGAAGTAGATACATTCTCTATCTGAGAGATGGTATTCTTACCGCAAGAAATGTAAGAAAAAAGGGCCTCATGTTTGGTCCTGAGCACAAAAGGTACACCATAGTTAATACTTGCTATTTCAAAGGAAAGCGATGTAAGTATTCTAGGAAATTACACAACAAGCATTTTGAAGTTTAGTACATAATCTCTTAGGGAAAACCATGGAAAACTTCCCTCTCATTTTTGGATCCCTCAATAATTATGTCACGTAGTTATGTGGAATAACACACTTCTTTACTCAACTGGATTTATTCATGTTTTCTTTGATCTGAGCGTGATGTTCAGACATACTGAAATCTCAGCTGACTTGTCATGTACTGAGACAAACTTTTTTTTTTGTCTTTTTCCTTTTTATCGGTACTGAGGATCGAACTCACGATCGCCTGCTTGCAAGGCAGGCGCGTATGCCGCTGAGCTAAATCCCCAGCCCCGCTGAGACATCCTTCTTAAGAGTTCTCTTTAAGTATGATAAAATTTAATTCATTAGAATTAGGTACTTCCCACATGTTTTAGGTAGTTAGGGATAACCAGTCATAAATAAAACCATCAGTTAAATACTGGAAGGTTGACTATAAGATTATCTTTGAAAAGGAATTCCTTTAATAATTCACGATTATATTTTTTATATACAGTAACATGCACATATGATATATACATATTTCTATTTGCACATAGATTTTTGAGGACTTTTGGCTTTTTCAGAATGGAATAGACATGAATATGAAAAGATAGACTGTTTCCTATTAGACTACAATAGTATGTTTCTTTCCCAGTGTTTCTGGTAGGGAAATGTTATGCTCTTTAATGTAAGAAAAATGCCAACATCATACTTTCTAGACTGATTTTACATCGAAAATCAGCATACTACTGCTTGCCTATTCATATGAGATGACCAGGAAAAAGCAAAATGCATGTCTTGTAGTTTCACGTAGTTTCAACATGACAGTTCTGAAGATTTTACACTTGTGTGTTGTTCAGAGACAAAGGTAATGGGTCTTTTTTTCTTTTCTTTTTGGACTAGGAATCGAACTTGGGACCTTGCCCTTACTAGGCAGGTACTCGTGCCGCTGAGCTATATCCCCCACTCTTGGCCAGATCTTCAGATGTGTATTTGTGGAATCTCGACACTTGAAATACCTGAGTACAAATGCTGTCTCCCAAGTCTCTGGTCTGTCTCAGGCAAGAGTCTGTTTCCATCTTTGGGCAACTCTGTCTGTCCCAGTGGCTTCTCTGTTTCTTCCTCTCATTTACCTTGTTAAGTTTGGGGCAGATATTTAATCAGCTATTACGGTGGTTCCCCAGCCTCCCTCTGTGTTCATTATATAATCATGGCTTCAGCTGTGTTTACCATCTAGGACACTTCTCTAAACATACTTTTATTTTTTTAGTTATATACGTACTGATAATACTACAGAATGGATATGTTCATTGTGGTGTGTTAGTACATATACATGTCACATCTTAGTCTTTTTTATTTCCTTGAATCCTTCCTACTATTCTCCCCTTATCCTTTCCCATCTGCAAAATGTCTGTATTCTGATTTTCTTACTCTTAAAGTGTACAACACAGAAGTTAACATTTATAGCTAGCAGAATACTCATTCTTTTTTCCAGTTAATTCTCTTCTATTCTTCTATTTCAAAGTCCAGTGCATTAGTACTTACAAGAGCTTACAGGCCTGGGGCAAGGCTCCTCAAAAGACTGCACATGCTCTAATGAAATTTAAATCAGGACACAGAAATACACAAGATTAGCTGGTAATATCTGCCCACAGAGTCAAATGTAGAAGAGTGCAAAAGATCTCTCCACATACCAGAGATCTAAAGAATCCAGCCTAAGGCCTGATCCCACAGCAGCATCGGGTCTGTTTCTGAGGCATGTGCGATGGAAGACAGGGTCTGCGGGACAGCCCAAGGACCAGTGCAGCAGGCTAGAAAGTCTGCTGTGGCCAGCCCAGAAGCCCAGGCTGCAAGCTGCATAATTATGCTGAGAGCCAGGAGATGGCACTCAAGATGAAGACAACAGCTGCTCCAAGGAAATAACAGCCATGCTTGACAAAGGTGAGGACTGGAGCGCGTCTGTCTGAAGAGAACGGCCAAAGCTCCTCCGAGGAAAATCACAGGAAGATAGCTGAGACTTTCCCTCCTCCTCTCCTTACATATCGTCCTGACAACTGTCAGAGTGGGTCTTCCACTCCATTCAATTGGGTGTTGACAATCAACCACTGTGTCAGTATTGTACTAGCTTTTCTGACAACCAGAGTGTACTGTTTTGAGTCCTTTAAATGTAATTGTTTCTGTTGCTTCTTTTGTTTTGTTTTTGATACTGGGAGCTCAAAGCCCAGGGTCACCCGTATGCTAATAAGCTCAGGCTCCGCCAGAGCTCCACCTCCAGCCCTAACTTACTGTTTCTGTTATTTTTAGGGACATCTTACTGTTTTTAGGTACATCTCCAGTCTTCTTCTGCAAGTATGTTATGCTTCAGGAAAAGGTATTTTGTAAAACAATCTTAACCCAGCATGGTGGTGCATGCCTGTAACTGCAGCACTCTGAGAGGCTGAGGCAGGAGAGTTGTAAGTTCAAGCCAAGCAAGACCCTATCTCAAAATACACAAAATAACAATGGCAGAGAACATAGCTCAGTGGGAAGGCCTTGAATTCAATCTCAGGACTCCCAGAAAAAAAAAAGAACTACCAGTTAATCTGCAATTCGAGAAGCGAATACAGCAGTGTAGGGTGTACAGGACAGAGCAGGCCTCATCCAAGACATGTGGACTGAGGTGGTACCGCAGCTCTCCAGCAAAGTGCCTTCTGTTAAAACCAGGATAGCTAACACTGCACCAAGTGTCTGACCGGAAGCTAAGTGACTTAAGGAAGGAATGCTTTTCCTAGATTACTAGAGATGACACATGGGCAGTGGCAGCCCTGGAGTCCTCAGTTGCTCTGGGATAGGAAAGGATGTAACCTCGGTCTTTATATCCACCTTTCCTTAAAAACCGCTTTGAGAGGAGAGCAGCGGTGCTGAAGATACAGTACGGCAGGGGACTTGCACTGCACCCAGCCATCTTAAAGGGCCAGCTTTGGCTTGCCAGCTTTGAGCTCGAAGTTCTTGCAAAGGCCAGTGACATAGTCCAAATGCCCCTTTAACTCATTCTTCTGATTTCTTCAATCACTAGGGCTCAAAAAGTAACAAGTGAAAGAAATAGTTGAAAGGAGAATACTATTTTATAAATTTCTGCAGATATATGTGTCATATATGATGCATACATTGATGGCATATTCTGCACACTTTCGTATTTAAGCTATACTTTTAAAGGCTTTTTTTTTTTAAACAAAAGACCTTGGCTGGTGAATAACCCTCAGATTTGTTTACATAAGGTTTCTCTGTGTTAGTAGAACACATGAAAATAGTTGAGTAGATGTGGTGGACATGCTTTACAGTCTGAACTCAAATACAGATTACATGTCATATTGGGGGGAAAATCACTTTTGGGGAGGAGGCACCTTTGAGAAATAGGTAGCTGTTAAGTAGGAGTGAGCTGATCTGCCACAAGGAACAAAATCAAGCCTGTAAAGTTTCAAGCATAATAGAAGCTTAATCCTTGCTCAAATATGTTCCCGCCCCAGTATTCCAGATCAGTGGACTTCTATGAAAAACCGAGTTTTACCTTAGGTCTGAGCTTTGTCCGTCTGTCCTCCGTGTAAGCCAGAGAGACAGAAGGTGCTCCTGCTTCTTCAAGCTTCCCCCTGACAGTGGTGCACTCTGGTTCTGTTCACACAAGAAGGATGAGAGGGAGCCTCACTGTCACACTTGCTGTAAGTGCGTGGCTGTCTCCGCTATGACACGATTATCGTGGACGAGGACAACTGGCCATGTCTGCCACAGGCAGCTGTTCTTCAGAGCAGGAAAAACAGGTTCCACTATTTGAGCACATTAAGGGACTAGACAGAGAAAATGGATACTGATTCAACACAAGCTTCAGAAAGGCTAAGTCCACACAGCGGCCAAAATTACTAAAAAGAAATGGCAACACCATACGTTGGCAAAGATGTGTAATAACTGAAACTGTAGGAAATGTAAATGACACAACCACTTTGGAAGGGTTTGGGAGTTTCTTAGGAAAAAAATCCATACCTGTGTCATGCTGGATCAGTTCCACTTGTAGACATTTAAATAAAAAGATCTGTGCAGAGAAAGGGTTCATACAAGATTGTTGAGAGCAACTCTTCTTAATACTCAAGAGGGAAACAACCCAGGTGTTCACCACTAGAATCAAAAGTTAAAAGTAGGGTCAAAAGAAAAGATTAAATTTAGTGATCAATCTTAACTGGCTTTTGCTTGTGATTCTAGGATTGAACAACACAATTAGTGTTCTAATGAGCTCAGTAGAGCAGGATTGGCTTTATAGACAGGCAGAAGAAAGACACAACAAAAAGCAGAGTGGCTTTCTTCAAGTTATTGTCCTTGTAAGGATTAAAGCAGATAACTTCATTATTCCATGCCAACGAGCCCTTCCTGTTTGGGAATTTGGTTTTATCACTCTCCTGGTGTCTTAAAATGTCAGATAAGTAATTTTGACTTGGTGATAGGAATCTTATCATGAGTGGCTCTATTTTGATTTGGTCTATTGAGACTGGTACTGGAGTTCAGTCCAAACCAAAGACCTCCAAGAAATTTTACTTAACAATAGGTAAACTGTTGTGTAATCACACAAGAGAATGCTCTTTGGCCAGGAGCAGGGCAGGGTGTGGAGAGATTATTAATATGTACAAATTCATGTATGAATCTCAAGTCATCCTGAATCAAAGATGCTTTACACAAAACTATACACCACATGATTGTGATTAAATTTTTTTTAAAGCATAATAATTCGTGGTGGAAAATAACCCACAGTGGGTGTCTCAGTAGGAGAGACTGATTAGGAAGAGGGAGGAAGAAACCCTCTATAATGACAGGCATACTCGATACCTTCATGAGAAGTCTGGGTTATACAGATGTACACATTTGCCAAAATACAGCACAGATTCACTTAAGATTTATGTATTTTGTTGGAAGTAACTTTTACCTCAAAAGATAAAATTTATAAACAATATTACTTAAATGATATGGTTGCTGAAGTGTTTAGGAGGGAAATTAGGTATCTGCAGTATATTTTAAAACACATAAAGAAGTGATTTGGGGTTGTGGATGGGGTTTCAATGGTAAAATGCTTTCCTTGTATACACAAGGTTCTGGTTTTGATCCCTAGCACTGCGCGCGTGCACACACAAACTAAAATAGGCTGATACATGGAAGGATGCGTAGGTGGACAGATGCATGACAAAGTAGCTATATAATAAGTGTCAAGAGACTTAACAACTACCCAAGATAGAGACATGGGGACTAACTTACTCTCCTACATTATACAACCAGAAAGCCAGGCAAATATATTATGAATCAAAGATCTCTCAAAACAGTTGAAGTGTATTGGTACAATTTAGGTACACACGGTGATCACATTCATCATGGGGAATTCGTACCTCTTGATGATTTGTCTTTTTCCTTCTCATACCCTTCCCCTCCCTTCAACATCCTCTTTCCCTCCTTATTTACAAAGCTTTGTTTCCCATTTTAGCCTCCGTTTCTCAGCTTTTCTTTTCCTCCCTTCCTTTTTATCTCCTTCCCTAGTTCTTCTTTCCTTTTGAACAGACTCTTCCCAATCCATATCTTTTGTACCATTTGGTTCTTAGAAACAAAGCTTTGTGTGAAATCACCTGGGTTCTGAAACAGTCACTAGAGTAGGCAGAACAATTACAAGACATACTTAGATTTGAGAGCATTTTGTGTTTCCATAAACCAGAGCAAAACAACTTCACAGTGCAAAGGGCACTAAGAGGAATCCTTAAAAGAATGAGGAAATAGTGGTGAGGCTAAGTTATCCCCTCATGAAATGGACCTCTGGACCCATCCTTGCAAATTCTATATCTGTAAGTCAAACTGATTTATAGATTAAATGAAATCCTAATCAAAACCTTAGCAGCCATTTTTTGGTAGAATCTGATGAGCTGATTTTAAAATTTCTAGGAAAATCCTTGAGTAGCTCAAACAACTTTGATGAAGATTAAGTTAGAGGGCCTATACCATCTGGTTGTAAGAGTGACTTACAGAGCTTTAGTAATTAAGACAATGTGAGTGGGCCTGGTGGTACACATCTATAATTTCTGGTCGAGGCAGGAGGATCACTGTGAATTCAATGCCAGCCTGGGCCACGTACTGAGTTCAAGGCCAGCCTGAACCACACAGTAAGACCCTGTCTCAGAAAGTAAAAACAAACAAAAAGACATGTGATTGGTGTCAGGCTTTATATAGCAATGGGACGTAATAAAAGTCCAGAAAGAGACCCATCTATGTATGTCACTTGAATTTGAACAAAGATGACAGGAGAACTCAAGGGAACAAAAGCCTGCTTACATATGGTTTGGAACACATATTAACCATATGTAACCACACCAATCACAAAAATAAACTATTTTTCCCCGCCTCCCCCCATCTCATACTACACAAGAATGGCTTAGAAGTGAATCACAGACTTAACAGAGCTAAAACTAAAATTTCTGGATGATAGAACTGGAGGATTTTGGGTGGCACAGCATGTAGGTAAGACAGCATAAAAATAATAAGCATAAAAGTAAGTGGGTAAAATATTGAATTAAATGGCTCTTTGTAAGGAAGATATATATATATATAAATGCAAAATAAACACTAGCTCACTGTTATTAGTTTCTCACTTGAGAAATATCTAATGCAAGATATATAAATATATCAGGATTTACAAGATGGGCTTATAATGGCCACTCACAGAGCCAGGTGTGGAGAGTGTGAAAGGGCTGTCTGCATGCTGGAGAGCTGAGCTCCAGACAGAAGGTGAAGGCCTGAAGCTCACTGTAATGTCCTATGCAAGCCCATATCAGGAGGCCAAAGGGTGTGCCCTGGGAGGCTGGAAGCCGGAGATGATATCCCAGGTGAAGGCAGACTGGAGCGCCTCTGAAGAAGGGAGCCTTCTTTTGTTTCCCTCTCATTCCATTCAGGCTACAAGCCTAGTGGTTGGTGCCACCCATACCCAGAGTGTGCCTTCTGTAAATCCTTTCAGCCACACCCAGGAATATGCTAATCTAATTTAGTAGAATGTTTCTTAATCAGTTAACTATCACATTCGTTATTAAGGAAATACAGGTTATTAAGGAAATGCTCACTAGAAGGAAGTTATTGAAAATTGGTATTACCAATCAGCAAGATTTTGGTGTAAATAGACCTCTCATACCTTGCTCACAGGGAGATATAAAGTTCTAGCCACATTAGGAAGCAATGTGGTAGTTTCTTATAAATGTCAGCCTTTTTTTCGATTCTGGGGTTCTTTAGACTTTTCAGGTCTTTAGTGCCCTGAACAAAGAATTGGACAAGACACACAAAAACAGTAATGAGGTTTTACATTTATCGAAGGTAGGAAAACATGTATGCTCTGCAGAGCGAGAGCAGGTCACTGTGAGAGTTCACAGTGGCCATGAGGCTAATGGCAGAGGTCCTTTGAATCCTTCATTCTTCAGGCTGAAGTCAGATCTAGGCTGTCTTATCAAAAACCTGCTTGTTTTCACATCAGAACAATTAAAAACAGTCCTTCACCTGATTATTCCCAGGTGAAGGACCTGGCAACTCTATTCCACGCACTTGACGTGGATCTCTGTGATGGACACATCATGCCTGCCTGCTCAGCCAGCTGGCCATGCCCTAACCTCTGGCTTCATTATAACTCAGCAATTCTACTCCCCTTTACCTAAGAGAAATGAAAACGTATTCGCACAAAAGTTGTATACGTGAATATTGGCAAAAATTTGTGAGCTGTGTACTTGTGTACATGAATATTTACAAAAACTTGTTCATAGATGTTCATAAAATCTTTATTTATAAAGTTCCAAATTAGAAACACCCCAAAAATCTGTTAACTGGTAAATGGATAAACCATATCCAAACAATGCTTATTTAGCATAAGAATGAACAAACTGCGAATACATTCAGCAACCTGAGTGAATCTCAAAAACATCCTAGACAGACACCATGGACTAAGGACTACATAAATTTATGTGTCTTAAAAAACTAAAAAAGACAAAATTGTAGTGACAAGAAACAGATCAGATGTTTCCAAGGGCTTTGCTAGAGGAGGAATCTTTGAAAATTGAAGGAACTGTTGTAGATCGTGGTGGTGGTGATTACATATCTGCACCCTTGTATCAAAACTCAGCCACCAGGTGTGGTGGAACACGTCTGTGATCCCAGCCATCTGGGTGACTGAGGGAGGACAATAACAAGTTTAATCGAATCTGGGCAATTTTTTGAGTTGATGAGACCCTGACTCAAAATGAAAAAGGGCTGGGGGTTTAGCTTAGTGTGAAGGGCCTGAGTTCAATCTTTCATTACTGCCAAGAAGAAAAAATTAAAAAATCATACATTTCAAAGTGATAAGTATATATTTATACCTCATTAAGTTTGTAGTACTTTAAAAAAAGAATGTAGATGTTGGGTTTATAGTATTCATTATAAATTCTTCTAAATCTACCCAATAAAATTTGATAATTTTCTTTTAAAATATGCCAAGAAATAGGAACTTGAGATGAAAGCCAGAAGAGTGCTACATATTTTATGCCTTGAGGGACTTTTCATGTGAAAATTTTCATGTGACCTTGTTTAAGGTAAGTCGCCACAGAGATTTACTATATATATTTATTTGATACTTATGTAGCTATATTTGAATGTATTTATTAACTTCAATTATTTAATGACTTTCTTGATCAATTGTTGGGACGATGGTGTGGTTGGAGTAGGGAACAAAGTTAACAGAATGCTTTAGCAAATAACCCATTTAAATGGGCTGAATTCTATGATCATGAAATTCATTGAGGCCACTTTTATTTTATAATCTGTTATGGTTTGTGACTAGATTTCCCCCCAAAGTCTTGTGCAGTCATGGGGGCAAGGTTTTTGGAAGTCACTGACTCCAGAGTGTGTGACTGATTTGTAATGCAGTGCTGGGTTAATGGTGCTGGCATTATGGGTGTGAGTGCTACCTCTACCCGAGGACAGGAGCCTGCATACAGTATAAGGGGCAGACCGAGGCTTGTCCTGTCTTCTGTCTTGTTGCTTCTGCTGTCTTCCACTGCCATGAATTGTTGCCTCTGTGCCATGTGCCCTCCTACCTTGGAGCCAGCTGGTTACAGACTGAAACCTCTACAAACTGTGAATTAAATAAACCTTTCCCCTTTAACTTTAAGTATCAGGTATTTTGTGTCAGCAATAAGAAAATTATCTAAGGTATAATCTTATGTGCCATCCTCACTCAACAATCAGGAAGACCTGACGATGAAATCTAACTTCAAAATATTGTAAAAGTAATTAAAATTGTATTGGAATCCTATTATACATGTTGTCTGTAGTTTTCTTCTTCTCAAAAGCCACTATTTTGTAACCTTTTAAGAGAATGTGTCATAGAATCTTCTCTACTGCCCAAAACAAACACTTTCATGTGGTACTAAAATGCCTTCATTTTATTTAATATTCATTCCAACGTCTCTTCAAGTTTAGGAGTGTAGAATCCTAAGTAAAGATTGTTACCCAAAGACTGATCATGCTATTAAACCCAGCATCACATACTTTTTTTTGTTTTTTTTGTTTTGCTTTTTTGAGATAGTCTTGCTTTGTAATTCAGTCTGGCTTTAAATTCATAGTCTAGGCTGGCCTTGATTTTGCAGCAGTCCTCCTGTCTCTGCCTTCTGAGTGCTGGGATTACAGGTATGTACCACTACACCTGGCTGGCATCACATCCTTAATCCCAGCGTGACATCTCTAGACCAGCCACCTCCTAAAAGCCCCACCTTGACCACATGATGCTTTGGGGGGACATCCAGGTATAAGCCATAATAAGCAGTTAGGGCACAAGTAAATTTAAAATATACAAAGGGAAGGGTAGGCAAGGAAGTAGAACTCCTGGCAGCTGGGAGAGGGTCCTGAACAGGGCACACACAAATGCTCCTTGTCTAGGATTTTTTAAGGAGTTTAGAAAGGGGCTTGGGCTTGTAAATGATATGATCTCTAATCTCCACCCTATAGGAGACTACATACTTTCAGGGTCCAATCACCCAAAAAGATGACCCTATCTGCCATTCTATCTGATTCCTGCTCCTAGAAGGTGTTGGGAGTCAGGAACATTCTCTTGAAGGCTTATCTAGTGACCTGTGATAGAAGTCAGGTAGGATCTCTCCATGGCAGGTTCCATCCACAAACAGACACTGCATGAAAGGAGAGTAAACAAGGAGATTGAGTGACAGGGTCTAAAAACACAGAAGAGCAGCAGGAGTATCAACTCTGGTCTTCGGGGCCCATCCCCACAGGGGAATTCAGCCAAGTCTCTTGGTTAAGGTTGACAGTACTTGCCATCTTCTCTAGAGCTGGTATTACCAAATGTTGGCGAGAGCCTTCCTAATATAGCTCCAAAGGGGGGAAAAAGGAAGCAAAGGTTGGGTTCCAGCCATGTTGTCTAGATAAAAAGTAGCAATTGAATCATCCCCAAGGTAGGGTCTACCCATCATTAGGATGTAGTGTAAGACTGTTCATTCACCATGATAGCATATTAAGTGATTACATCCTCCCACACCCCAGGAAGTGGGCATACCAGGCTGAACCATTGAAAGGTTAGAGTAAGTATGCCTTTGAGTACAACTAGCTAAACAGGAGATAAATTAGATCCTCTTTATCATGACTTATCATTTGAGGAGTCAAGTGACTATTTTCTTTCTTTCTTTGTTTCTTTCTTTCTTTCTTTCTTTCTTTCTTACTTCCTTCCTTCCTTCCTTCCTTCCTTCCTTCCTTTCTTTCTTTCATAGTTTTTTGAGACACACTCTCACTATGTGTATTTACTCTATTTACAGGCTGGCCTTGAACTCACAGTGATCCTCCTGCCTCAGCCTCTATTATGCTGGGATTACAGGGATGTGCTACCTCGCCAGTTTAGAAGAAGTGTTTCCTTGAAGAGTTTAAGGTGCTCTGATGGCTCATAGGTAGAATGCTGAGCCTCTTCATCATTGGGTGGTGGCAACATCCAGAATTTGAGTCAAGAATGTGTATCCAGGGACTCAGTTCCTTCTACTTTGGTAACTGTTGTGGTGGACAGGGTCGCTGTTTGTGGTCCCTCCAAGATGGGTTCTCAGGTCACCTTTTTCCCCACACTGAAGGATAGGAAGACCAGTACAGCTGCAAAATGTCAAATTATATTTTTCAGGATCTGTGGATCAAAGGAATCCCGGTTGTTGAGAATAGATACCAAAGGGACAATGGGAGTTGAAATCAAACTTCCCGTTAAAAAACATCAAATGAGGTGAAGATGTTCCTTGCTTTTGCTCTTGAAGCATTCCATGGCCAAGACATCCCTTGACTGCCTGTGAGGTTCTAGTTACTACAAATTGCAAGCTAGGATCAAGAGTGTGTGACACTACTGCTTGCTCTAACTGTCATGCCATTCACCCTCTCTTGTGTCCCTAAAGCCCTTTGGTTGTGACCAGTAGTTAGACTTCCTTTATTCCCCCCTCCCACAATTAAAATACTCTGTAAGTGAAACTGCAGATCAACTTGTAGACCCTCTATTATATGCAGAAAAGCAATCAAGACTAAAGTGGGGCAAAGTTCCAGCACACTAAGAAGGAAAAGCAGTCATTTAAGTATTTTCTTTGAGTCACATTTTCCATCAAAGCCCAACTCAATGTGGAGTCTCAATTAGACCTAGGTGGTTGTCTGTCTGTCTAGCTGTTACCAGCATGTGCTCCCTTATATGATTCTCACCTAAGAAGATGGAAAACCTGCTTGACTGCTGTGTCCTTTGTCCTTGCAGTCCCAGCACAAGAGACAATGAAGAATGGCCAGGGAGGAAGTTGGGACCTGGGGAGGAGTGATTGATAATCTGAAAGTCAGTGCTGTAGCTTTTCTAAGAACCTTGGAGCAAGAAGGAGGTTTAGAATAAACTTCATGAGCCCAGCGGAGCCTGCTTTGCTCCATTCCATGTCCAAGTTTTCTCTTCATGGGAGTCTAAATTGCTGCAAGCTCTAATGGCTTTAAAAGAGTAACCAGACAATTACGAGGAAACCACAAGATGTGGGGTCTTTCTTACCTCCTGGTATGACTTACCAAGAAAGTTAATCATGATAGTGGGAGCAGATTCCTTCCTTTTCATACCTGTACTGCGTGAAAGGGCTGTGTCTTGACTGAAAGGCCAAGAGCACCAGGGGCAGGGATCGCTCCCCGCCAGTGGAGAGGTCTAACTAGCAGGGAAACTGAGGAGAGACTGGACAAAGTAAAGTAAAGAATGTGCGAGAGCATAGACTCTCCTCACCTCCTCTCAAGATCCCAGGCAAGACCCAAGCATGTCACCAGAATGCCGGGGTCAGGATCTACTGTGATAAAAAAAAATGAAGCCACGAATGGAGGAGATAAATAGGGTGCAAGCAAATTTGTAGAAAAGATCTAAAGCAAGGAAGTAGAGCTCCCACTAGCCAGGAGGGGGTCCTGAGCAGGACACCCCAAAATCTTTGCCTAGAGATTTTAAAGAGCTTTGAAAGGCAGCTTAGGCTGTTGTGTAAGCAACATACTCTATCCTATAGAGTCTACATACTTTTTAGGATCTAATCTACACAGCGTTCTCACAGACCCCAAGCAGGCCCATGCGTGCTTGAGCCAATGGCCTTCTCATCCTGCTCTGGGAGGGTTCAAGACAGTTGCAAACATCTGCCAGATGATTTGCCTTTGATTTATGTTTTTGAGAGAGAGTCTTAGTAGGTAGTAGGCGTCCCTCAAATTCATAGTGAACTTTCCTTCTCAACCTCCTAGTGCTGGGATTACAGGTGCGCACCACCACACGTGGCTACCTGGAAGATGTTTTTGTAAGATCTCTGGAAGGTGGTGACTTTGCTGACTCCATGTTGGGCTCCCAACTTCTTTTGGGGACCACTGTCTTTACTGCTTAACATAACCCTAATTTCCACCCAGTCTCAATTTTATGGCCTTTGGGGTGCTATCCTTTGATATCACTTTAAGGTGACATCCTTTGAGACTGTTGGTGTGACTTTTTTTGTGTTGCTCTCTTAACATATGTGGTTATTTCTCTTTATTCTGTAGGTAAGGAATTGACAAACTTTGTAAAAGGCCAGAAAGTAAGTATTTTATACTTTGAGGACCATGTGGTCTCTGTGTCTCCACTCTGCTGCTGTGAAAACCAGCCATGAAAAACCCAGAAATGAGTGAAAATGGCTGTTTCTCTAAAATTTTATACACAGAAACAAGTTTGGGCTGGAATTGGCCTGGGCTGAAATTTTTTAGGGTTTAAACATCACCCAAAACAAATATGCAACTTGTTACAACCAAGTCTGATAACTTGGTATTTAATGTTACTAATACTAAATAATAAAGTGTTCAGTACCACATAATAAATTTTCCTGTATCAGAAATTTGGAATATACACATGCTGGGTCTCTATATGACTCACTGATATGCAAAAGAATTTCTAATTTATAGAAAACATAAATATGCATTTATCGAACATAGCTTTTAGAAATGTTTCATTAATTAGAATACCACTTCAGCTGATATAGTATAGTTTAGTAAGAAATGTAAAATTCAGACTATATATACACTCCATGTTTTCCATTGATTTAAGGATCCCCACAAATCAATGGAAAATATGGACTACATATAAGCTGAATTTTACATTTCTTCCTGTGACTAAAATTGATGCAGTCTACCATATTGCCTATATTTAGATCATTTCCTTTGAATTGAATAAGAACCAATGAAGGGTGTCCACATGGTCACTTAGGACTTAGGATTTAAGCAAAGGCACTATCATTAAATAGAGCTTTAAAAAGCTGAGAGCCTTTTTCCTCATGCTCTTATCATTCATATTGAACAAATCTATTTTAAAAGGTAGACATAGGATCAAAAAGCAAATTATAGTGGGCACTGTCTTCCGCTCTCTGTCCAGCAGTGGTGAGCACACAGCACACGTGCGTGCTGGGCCGTTTGTATCGCTGAAAGTGCTGAAAGCTTTGCCATCGCTGCTCTGGCCTTTTCCTACTCAGTGTTTGCTATCAAAGAGAACTAGCATGTATGTCTTATTGAGAGAACTTACAAGCTGCTTCTTAGGATAAGTGAAAACAGAAAAACCACTTCTGAACAACTCTTCTTATTTTGTGAAGAATACTTTGAGAAGTTCACTTTAATCCTGTAAAGGCACCTCTGAGTACCCCACATTGTTCTGAGAGATGGACCTTAAGGCTAACTGTAATTTTTATTGTGTAATTATATTACCAATAACAACTTTATGACACAAGTTTCACTACGCGAAGTTCTTTGTGGAGAGGGAGCTGATGAGTT